AAGATGCCAATCAGGAGGCAAAAAGTAAGGCTCTCCAAAGACTCTTGAGGGAGACAAATGCACTGCCCTCAGAGAACTTACCTGGGCAAACTTGTGAATTTGTTCTACCACTGCAGCAAACAGAGCATGGACGCTTTCATCAATCAAACTCTGCATGTAATGCACCGCCTCTTCATCTGACAGGTCTAGACGAAATTTATCCTGAACCTACAAGATAATAAACTATTAGTCTTTTTAATGAAGAAAAACATATATATTTTTGAACAGACAGACTCAAACTGATACAGATATTATTAAAATATATCAGGAGTTATTTCTATGCCAAATAAGAGATTCATAGCTTATAAAAGGAACTCTGAGTATCATTCTTAATGCGCATGGAAATTTACTGGAAATTATTCCTTTCAAAAATAGGAAAAATAATTCTTTTAATTCAACTTATACTTTTTTTTTTTTACAAAAATTAGATGTAGAACTACTTTGTGATTCAAATTGCAACACATTAATTAATTATTCCCTTCACTTTATCTCTGTCGTTCACTGTGGAATGGATATATCAAGGCCAGTCTTTAACATTCTCCCCACTTTCATTACCATAGTTCATAGGCACTATGTTAATCCCTGGCAAAATAAACTAAACCAGATCTTCTAAAATGTCTCCTTTTTTATTGCAGTTACCAACAGCCCTGCAAAGAAGTACTTCAATGATCTGTAGTTTCCAAAGACTAGGGAATTTTTTCTTTTAGTTCATATTTAAAGTTATAATTGATCTTCAATAGCTTTAACTACTAGAAAAATCAGTTTATGTATATGTATCTATATGTATTTAAATGATGATCTCAATATTAAAAGCCAAAGTTCCTGAACAACTTTGTACAAAACTTTAGGCAAAGTACTACATATGCAACATTTCATCTGACTCCTTCATGGCCTCAAAGTAGATAATACCTCCATCTACGAAGTAAAGAAATGAAGAGAATTTATAAAGCCAAAACAGGGACCTTAATTCACCATAAGTGATGCATGCTTATAGTCAATATCATATCACTACAAATAACCATCACATCTTACTCTGTTCCCCTATTATAAATGATGCACATCTACTTCTGAAGAGCATATTAGGAATAAATGGGATTTCCAAGTGGGTACAATGTGATCTACAGCAAGGCACTATGGTTTACATTTAATAATTCCAGTTACTCAGGAGACCAAGGCAGGAGGATCACAAGTTCAAGGCCAGTCTAGATAACTTAGTGAGACCCTGTTTCAAAATAAAGTAAAAAGGGATGTGGATATAGCTCAGGGGTAGAGTGCTTGCCTAGTATGCATAAAACCCTGGGTTCAACCTCAGTACCAGAAA